TTTTTTTTTTCATGTAAATTAAACGCATTTCAGAGCGTGTGTCGAAGTGATATTTTTTGTGCAGTCGCGCTTTGTTTCGTTCTTTTCATTTCGTGCAATTTGATAGAAGCGATGAATTCGTGTATGGTTTTTTCGTTTTGTTGTCGTCGTCGACGTCGTCAAGTTTGTGAACGAGAGATAAACGGATAAGTTGCCGGCCCGATTGAGTCGAGATTTCCGCGAATGTGATGTTTATTCATGCAAATCACATATTGTCACCGAACTGGTTTACGAATGTATTGAATATTTTATCATTGGCTTCGTGCCCTTTCTCATTCATACCAACAACTACAGCTACGGACGTAAAACGCGCACTCATCTCTCTCTCTCTCTCTCTCTCTCTCTCTCTCTCTCTCTTCCTCTCGCTCTGTGTGTGTTCTTTCTCACTCCATATTTTTGATAGTTCCACTAGACATGGCTGCCATACTTTGCGACAAGCGTCCCGCGACACAAGTGTCCAATTCTTTATTTACAGTTCACTTGAGTTCGAATAACGCTGATAACGTATTTGTTTTTCCACCAGTTGGGAAATGGGAGTAAAAAAATCCATCAGCACATGTTGGTTTTTTTCGTTCTGCGCCATCGATCGCTAGTCGATTGGCCGATTTGCAGCTTTGTTAATTTGGGGCAAGCGATCGACAGTGTCAATCTTCGAAATTGAATTAAAAACTTCCATTGAACACACAATTAATTTGGAAAGTAGGCAAAATCGTTCTCGATCCGTAGTTTTTGTTAAATATCTCATTAAAGCGGTTCCGTGTCGTTCGCTCTTTTGCTCTCGCTGGGCATTGAATTATTATTTTCATGATGACGATAAAAAAAAAATTCTGAATTAAAGCCAATGTTCCTAACGAAGAAGATGGTTTCGTTTTTTTTTCCCTGCCGTGCTAGCTGGCCCCGTTTCGTATGCTCTCCCAACAACTGCCAATTAAACCACTTACTTTAAAAACTGAAAAAATGTCAAAGAAAAATAAGAGTCTACATCTAACTTCGTTTTTTTCTTCCATTTTTCGTGTCATGAGCATTTGGAAGTTGGACGATGTCACCGATGTGGCAAAAGAGTGCTTTGGGATGCAGTGAATCGATTGGCTGATTGTAAATTGTCAATGGCAATGAAGAAATGGTACACCAAAATGCAAATAAACGAAACTTCATTACGCAAAAATCATTGAAGAATAAAATGATGACGACGATGACAGCGACAAACGAAAGAAAAAAAGTAAAATGGCAACACACATACTTTCTTTTTCACACCAATTTATATAAATTGTATGATTTGTCTCCCTCGCATCGCATAGACGTTGGAATTAATATTTCCATAGTGAATAAACGCGAGTTGTTTATGGTTCGTTGCTCTTGAAAAACTCTCCAAATTAGATACCATGAAAAAAGTTTTTATGCGCCTCTTGATTTCTTGGTTAATATCAAAAGTTTTCGGTTTTATATGTATTCCATTTTTTTTTTTTTTGCTCTTCAACTTATTCATTAATAATGTTTCTAAGTAATTTAACATTGATTTTTTTTTGGCCGAAAAAAAGAGAAACAGAATCGCGTCTCGTGCATTTAGAAATGGCATGTTCTCGCTAACAGAAATCAATAAACATTTATTGGTAACAAAAAGTTTGTTTATATGAGTTAATGAAAGAACATTGACTTTTCGGTTGTCGATTACCTTCGATAATTTGTTGAAGAAGAAAAATCGACAGAATACTCTCAAACAGCTCAATTGAGAAGAAATAAATCAAAGTTATACACGTATTTATTGACAATAAATTAGAATGTGAACGAAAATCACTTGGATTCGAATGACCGTATAAAATTCAGCGAACTGCACTAAATGAGCATTCAAAATAGACTAATCGTAAAGAACTTTGGTTTTTCATTGAATGTTGAACAAAAACGCACTTGTTTCGGCATGAGCTATGAGTTTCAGTGCCGCAATGGTTAAACTCCATTTTAAATGTGTAACCAAACCAACAGGGCCGCAATACAAATGAAAGCCACCGCAGAAAATAAAGAGAAGTTCGGAACGTACCACAAAATAAAAAAAATAAAAACATATGTATTATTATTAACTAGTTGGTAGTTAATTATGTAAGCAATGGAGTCTATATTGGTCTCGTTGGCTGTTTGTGAGCGTATCTCTCTCTCTCTCTCTCTCTCTCTCTCTCTCTCTGTGTGTGTGTGTCTGTCGGCGAGAAGAGAATGAATCGAGGTAAATCGGTGTGCATTTCGCAGTCAATCAAATAATAATGGAATTATTAAATTGGCCATGTGATTGCGAAGAAAAAAAAACAAATTGTAATTTTGCAATGTATTTCATACAGAAAATTTCCATCGCACACACCGCCATCCAAAAATATTACCAGTTTCTATTTATTTATGTGTGTATACAAAGAAAAACATACACGGCGCTCGACCAAACCATTCATTCGATCAGTGTTTTGGTGTTACACGCAATAGCCATATAAACAACATTAAAATCGAACC